CCACCACTCCCCTACCCTCTCCTCACTTGGATCGCTTTTGAGTCGACTTAAAAGCACCACATACCACCACTCCCCTACCCTGTCCTCACTTGGATCGCTTTTGAGTCGACTTAAAAGCACCACATACCACCACTCCCCTACCCTGTCCTCACTTGGATCGCTTTTGAGTCGACTTAAAAGCACCACATACCACCACTCCCCTACCCTCTCCTCACTTGGATCGCTTTTGATTCGACTTAAAAGCACCACATACCACCACTCCCCTACCCTCTCCTCACTTGGATCGCTTTTGAGTCGACTTAAAAGCACCACATACCACCACTCCCCTACCCTGTCCTCACTTGGATCGCTTTTGAGTCGACTTAAAAGCACCACATACCACCACTCCCCTACCCTCTCCTCACTTGGATCGCTTTTGAGTCGACTTAAAAGCACCACATACCACCACTCCCCTACCCTCTCCTCACTTGGATCGCTTTTGAGTCGACTTAAAAGCACCACATACCACCACTCCCCTACCCTGTCCTCACTTGGATCGCTTTTGAGTCGACTTAAAAGCACCACATACCACCACTCCCCTACCCTCTCCTCACTTGGATCGCTTTTGAGTCGACTTAAAAGCACCACATACCACCACTCCCCTACCCTCTCCTCACTTGGATCGCTTTTGAGTCGACTTAAAAGCACCACATACCACCACTCCCCTACCCTGTCCTCACTTGGATCGCTTTTGAGTCGACTTAAAAGCACCACATACCACCACTCCCCTACCCTGTCCTCACTTGGATCGCTTTAGAGTCGACTTAAAAGCACCACATACCACCACTCCCCTACCCTCTCCTCACTTGGATCGCTTTTGAGTCGACTTAAAAGCACCACATACCACCACTCCCCTACCCTGTCCTCACTTGGATCGCTTTTGAGTCAACTTAAAAGCACCACATACCACCACTCCCCTACCCTGTCCTCACTTGGATCGCTTTTGAGTCGACTTAAAAGCACCACATACCACCACTCCCCTACCCTCTCCTCACTTGGATCGCTTTTGAGTCGACTTAAAAGCACCACATACCACCACTCCCCTACCCTGTCCTCACTTGGATCGCTTTTGAGTCGACTTAAAAGCACCACATACCACCACTCCCCTACCCTGTCCTCACTTGGATCGCTTTTGAGTCGACTTAAAAGCACCACATACCACCACTCCCCTACCCTGTCCTCACTTGGATCGCTTTTGAGTCGTCTTAAAAGCACCACATACCACCACTCCCCTACCCTGTCCTCACTTGGATCGCTTTTGAGTCGACTTAAAAGCACCACATACCACCACTCCCCTACCCTGTCCTCACTTGGATCGCTTTTGAGTCGACTTAAAAGCACCACATACCACCACTCCCCTACCCTGTCCTCACTTGGATCGCTTTTGAGTCGACTTAAAAGCACCACATACCACCACTCCCCTACCCTGTCCTCACTTGGATCGCTTTTGAGTCGACTTAAAAGCACCACATACCACCACTCCCCTACCCTGTCCTCACTTGGATCGCTTTTGAATCGACTTAGAAGCACCACATACCACCGCTCCCCTACCCTGTCCTCACTTGGATCGCTTTTGAGTCGACTTAAAAGCACCACATACCACCACTCCCCTACCCTGTCCTCACTTGGATCGCTTTTGAGTCGACTTAAAAGCACCACATACCACCACTCCCCTACCCTGTCCTCACTTGGATCGCTTTTGAGTCGACTTAAAAGCACCACATACCACCACTCCCCTACCCTCTCCTCACTTGGATCGCTTTTGAGTCGACTTAAAAGCACCACATACCACCACTCCCCTACCCTGTCCTCACTTGGATCGCTTTTGAGTCGACTTAAAAGCACCACATACCACCACTCCCCTACCCTGTCCTCACTTGGATCGCTTTTGAGTCGACTTAAAAGCACCACATACCACCACTCCCCTACCCTGTCCTCACTTGGATCGCTTTTGAGTCGACTTAAAAGCACCACATACCACCACTCCCCTACCCTCTCCTCACTTGGATCGCTTTTGAGTCGACTTAAAAGCACCACATACCACCACTCCCCTACCCTGTCCTCACTTGGATCGCTTTTGAGTCGACTTAAAAGCACCACATACCACCACTCCCCTACCCTGTCCTCACTTGGATCGCTTTTGACTCGACTTAAAAGCACCACATACCACCACTCCCCTACCCTCTCCTCACTTGGATCGCTTTTGATTCGACTTAAAAGCACCACATACCACCACTCCCCTACCCTCTCCTCACTTGGATCGCTTTTGAGTCGACTTAAAAGCACCACATACCACCACTCCCCTACCCTGTCCTCACTTGGATCGCTTTTGAGTCGACTTAAAAGCACCACATACCACCACTCCCCTACCCTCTCCTCACTTGGATCGCTTTTGAGTCGACTTAAAAGCACCACATACCACCACTCCCCTACCCTCTCCTCACTTGGATCGCTTTTGAGTCGACTTAAAAGCACCACATACCACCACTCCCCTACCCTGTCCTCACTTGGATCGCTTTTGAGTCGACTTAAAAGCACCACATACCACCACTCCCCTACCCTGTCCTCACTTGGATCGCTTTTGAGTCGACTTAAAAGCACCACATACCACCACTCCCCTACCCTCTCCTCACTTGGATCGCTTTTGATTCGACTTAAAAGCACCACATACCACCACTCCCCTACCCTCTCCTCACTTGGATCGCTTTTGAGTCGACTTAAAAGCACCACATACCACCACTCCCCTACCCTGTCCTCACTTGGATCGCTTTTGAGTCGACTTAAAAGCACCACATACCACCACTCCCCTACCCTCTCCTCACTTGGATCGCTTTTGAGTCGACTTAAAAGCACCACATACCACCACTCCCCTACCCTCTCCTCACTTGGATCGCTTTTGAGTCGACTTAAAAGCACCACATACCACCACTCCCCTACCCTGTCCTCACTTGGATCGCTTTTGAGTCGACTTAGAAGCACCACATACCACCACTCCCCTACCCTGTCCTCACTTGGATCGCTTTTGAGTTGACTTAAAAGCACCACATACCACCACTCCCCTACCCTCTCCTCACTTGGATCGCTTTTGAGTCGACTTAAAAGCACCACATACCACCACTCCCCTACCCTGTCCTCACTTGGATCGCTTTTGAGTCGACTTAAAAGCACCACATACCACCACTCCCCTACCCTGTCCTCACTTGGATCGCTTTTGAGTCGACTTAGAAGCACCACATACCACCACTCCCCTACCCTGTCCTCACTTGGATCGCTTTTGAGTCGACTTAAAAGCACCACATACCACCACTCCCCTACCCTCTCCTCACTTGGATCGCTTTTGAGTCGACTTAAAAGCACCACATACCACCACTCCCCTACCCTGTCCTCACTTGGATCGCTTTTGAGTCGACTTAAAAGCACCACATACCACAACTCCCCTACCCTCTCCTCACCTGGATCGCTTTTGAGTCGACTTAAAAGCACCACATACCACCACTCCCCTACCCTCTCCTCACTTGGATCGCTTTTGAGTCGACTTAAAAGCACCACATACCACCACTCCCCTACCCTGTCCTCACTTGGATCGCTTTTGAGTCGACTTAAAAGCACCACATACCACCACTCCCCTACCCTCTCCTCACTTGGATCGCTTTTGAGTCGACTTAAAAGCAGCACATACCACCAGTCCCCTACCCTCTCCTCACTTGGATCGCTTTTGAGTCGACTTAAAAGCACCACATACCACCACTCCCCTACCCTGTCCTCACTTGGATCGCTTTTGAGTCGACTTAAAAGCACCACATACCACCACTCCCCTACCCTCTCCTCACTTGGATCGCTTTTGAGTCGACTTAAAAGCACCACATACCACCACTCCCCTACCCTCTCCTCACTTGGATCGCTTTTGAGTCGACTTAAAAGCACCACATACCACCACTCCCCTACCCTGTCCTCACTTGGATCGCTTTTGAGTCGACTTAAAAGCACCACATACCACCACTCCCCTACCCTCTCCTCACCTGGATCGCTTTTGAGTCGACTTAAAAGCACCACATACCACCACTCCCCTACCCTCTCCTCACTTGGATCGCTTTTGAGTCGACTTAAAAGCACCACATACCACCACTCCCCTACCCTCTCCTCACTTGGATCGCTTTTGAGTCGACTTAAAAGCACCACATACCACCACTCCCCTACCCTGTCCTCACTTGGATCGCTTTTGAGTCGACTTAAAAGCACCACATACCACCACTCCCCTACCCTCTCCTCACTTGGATCGCTTTTGAGTCGACTTAAAAGCACCACATACCACCACTCCCCTACCCTCTCCTCACCTGGATCGCTTTTGAGTCGACTTAAAAGCACCACATACCACCACTCCCCTACCCTGTCCTCACTTGGATCGCTTTTGAGTCGACTTAAAAGCACCACATACCACCACTCCCCTACCCTCTCCTCACTTGGATCGCTTTTGAGTCGACTTAAAAGCACCACATACCACCACTCCCCTACCCTCTCCTCACCTGGATCGCTTTTGAGTCGACTTAAAAGCACCACATACCACCACTCCCCTACCCTCTCCTCACTTGGATCGCTTTTGAGTCGACTTAAAAGCACCACATACCACCACTCACCTACCCTCTCCTCACTTGGATCGCCAGATAGCAGGAGCAGATCCTGTTTCCGATGGTGGTATCAACGGTGTTAGCTTTTAGCAGCGTCATTCCCAAGGTCATGCTGGTCAATAATCATTTTGCAATTATCACCAGACCACACCCACTCACCCTCCACTCCCGCCTTCCCCCTGCCTTTCAATGTTCACCAGATAGCGGAGGAGTTGATGCCTCCCCCAATGGTGGTTTTTGAGTCGACTCAAAAGGTGACTTAGATGACTTTTGAGTCGACTCAAAACCCACCCACCCTCCACTCCCCCCTTCCCCCCGCCTTTCAATGTTTACCAGATAGCGGAGGAGTTGATGCCTCCCCCAATGGTGGTCTCAGCATTCCTGGCTCTCAGCAGCGTCATTCCCAAGGTCAAGATGGTTCCAGGAAAGGACATCAGTGACATCGGGATGAGAGACCTTGCGAACCGCAAGCGGGTGAGTACGCACCTTCTTATGGTGGGCTTGAATGGTGTTGGCTCTGAGCAGCGTCATTCCCAAGGTCAAGATGGTTCCAGGAAAGGACATCAATGACATTGGGATGAGAGACCTTGTTAACCGCATGAGAGTGGGTGCGCACCTTCATATGGTGAGCTTGAATCGAAGCTCCCGACCAGGTGCGGGTTGGCTATCGACATTTCAAGGTGAAGCATTCACCGCCGTTGGCTATATCCTCTTCAGATCCCCTCCTCCTCTCCCCTCCCCCCTCCTATCTCCACCAGGCGAAGGATAACCCAATGTCCATCAGGTGACCTGCTCGAGTGGGCACAGCAGTTTCACTGCTCCTCTGCTCCTGCTATTCACCTAACCCTCACCCAATCTCTTCCCTTGCTCCTCGCCGTCCTTTGCTCCCCCACCCACCAGGCGAAGGATAACCCAATGTCCATCAGGGGCCCTGCCCGAGTGGGCACAGCTGTTTCGCTGCTGCGGACCACACAAGAGATCGGCCCGAGGATGAAGGAGGTGAGGCTGAGGTGTGAGGTGTGAGGTGTGCGGTGTGAGGTGTGAGGATGGAGGAGGGGAGGTGTGAGGAAGACGATCGAGGAGGGGAGGTGTAAGGAGGATGACTCACCAGCTTCTAGAATCACGAGCGGATTAGAGTAGCAAGTGTTCTTTTGGTGATTGATCACTGGTGGTGGATTCCAATCGACTGAATGGGATCATCAAAGCTTTCAGAAGCTTAGACTTAGGTGTTTGCCATATTGTCGTTCTTCATGCTGCATGCGACTTTGGCAAGGCGGCTGGCCCTGCATTCCTTCACTCAGCATGAGTGCACACCATACCTTTCACTCATATCCGCCCTAAACCATCCACCCCCTCGCTCTCCCCGTCCTGCAGCTCTCCCTGCCATGCTTCATACTGCACGGCAGTGCTGACGTGGTAACCGACCCGGCATGAGACCTGCCACCCAACACATGGCACTCGGCATTCATTCCCCTCTCCCTCATGTACCATCCACTCCTCCCCGCAGTTCTCCCTGCCGTGCTTCAAACCGCATGGCAGCACTGACTTCTTGTTTTGAGACGTCTCAAAACGTGCTTCATACCGCATGGCAGCAATGACTTCTTGTTTTGAGACGTCTCAAAACGTGCTTCATACCGCATGGCAGCACTGACTTCTTGCCGCCCAATCTGTGCCAGTGTGCGCCAACGCCATACGAGACCATACCGTGAAATACTATCCTCCACCCCTCATCGCTTCCTCCCCTCCCCGCAGCTCTCCCTGCCTTGCTTCATACTGCATGGCAGTGCTGACGTGGTAACCGACCCGGCGCTCTCCAAGGAGCTGCACGCAGCGGCCAGCAGCACCGATAAGACTCTCAAGATCTATGAGGGCTCCTGGCACGGGCTCACGACTCCTGGCTGGCACCCGACCGTGCTTCATACTGCACTGCAGCACTTGACTTGATGGCCGATCTGTGCAAGTGTGCGCCAACAAACCCCAAACCAAGTGTGTCACTTGCTGTCCAACCCCCCTCTCTCTCTCTCCCTCTCTCTCTCTATCCCCTCCCTGCAGCTCTCCCTGCCATGCTTCATACTGCATGGCAGTGCTGACGTAGTAACTGACCCAGCACTCTCCAAGGAGCTTCACGCAGTGGCCAGCAGCACCGACAAGACACTCAAGATCTACGAGGGCTCCTGGCATGGACTCACGTCCGGGGAGCCTGACGATGTGATTGAGAAGGTGATTGCCGATATTGTCGCGTGGATTGCTGCGCGCAGCAGTGCTGCTACAGTGGATTTGAACGCGGTGAATGAGAAGCTTTTGGAGCCGCCCTTTAAGGGGGATACGGGGAAGGAGGTGGAGGTGTAGCATTGGTACGGAGATACTACTCAGGAGCCTGGTGATGTGATTGAGAAGGCGATAGGAAATCTTGTGTTTTGGGTTGCTACCGGTACTGCCAATAGTGCTGCTACTATGGCTGCAAACAGCACCTTGGGTGAATGTGTGAAGTGGATAGAGCCTATCGCATAGTAGAGACCACCAGAACCTGCAGCACGTTATCCAAGGGTAATAAATTATTTTATCAGCTACGCGCTGTGTTTCGTTTTTCCTACTCAGAATCGGTCAAAGCTGGTGAAATAGTGGGATGCATGGGAGGTTTCAGAAATCCGTTATTTGTATTCCTAAGAGCGTAGTTCTATCATCGAATGATCACTAAACAGAGTTGCGGACTATCCTTCGGGACACTCCCGTTCCATTCCAACACTGCCTCCGTGACGTGGCCGGTCTTTGTGTGACCATTTCCAACTTCCCTTCCACGTGGATCACATGAAGGTGACTGCCAGCACAGCATAACAGCAATTTCGATAACTGTCAGCGAGTCAAGTCGCTTGCTTCGCTGGATGTTGTTTCTGCAAGCCAGCGCACCAAATGTGGCTTGCACGCCCGACGCGCCAAGCAGTTGCCGCATCTCGTGGAGGTGATAATTCCAGGTGTAGGTGCTTCCAGCTATCGCAGATGATGTGTTACGGTTCGCTGCCGACGAACACGATCATCGTTGCACCTGCATGCGACGAGAAGTGATGCTGAACGAGTTTGTAATCGACTGACGAAATTTCGTACTACCTTTTCGAGCCTTCGTGGGCACGACGATGTCGATCTCAGCGGCGCGGCGCGGCGCGGCATATCACGAATTTCGATTTCTGTACTTCGTTATCCGTGCTCGCCCTTCCTTCCTATTCCATTCTCGTTTTGTCAAGAATCGCTTGACCTCCATTTCCTTCCACACAGCGAATCCACTGTTATGGTGCGACGCACTTTTGACGTTGAGCGGGAAACAAGCAACCATCAATGGAAAGACGTCTCGAACAGATGGAAAAAGGGAGGCGACGCTATTGCTCCAGACTTTACCGATTCGCATGAAATCTCCTTCACGCAGAAAGCCCATAAGTCCATTCCTAGTGCTACTACTCGTGGCCCTACTGAGCCGACGAAATTTGTCGGTGCGTCTCCGTACCCCACGCAGGATGCGCGAATTCTCGAGAATTCGGCGAAATCTCTTGCGATAACTGACCGGAGCGAGCATCAAAAGCACGCATGTTGTTCGAAAGACCAGCAGATCACGAGAATCGATGGGCAGATTACTAGGGAGCGAAAAACCGCCCAGGTGCATGAACTCGAAGGCGAAGTTGGTACTTGCCGTGATAACGAGATTCCCGAGAGCATCACCCGCGGTTCCGATGGGCCGCCGAGGAACGGCGTGAAAAGACCCGCGGAAATCGTGGTGCTGGTGCGCAATATCCCAGCGAGCAACTTCATGGCGCAAGCTGCCGAAAGCCCTGACGGCTCTGCAGACGACGAAGTCGCTCGTCGCACTGACGGGCCGCTGGGAGGGAGTGCAGACGTTACTTTCGTGCCGGTAGCCGCACGCGCGCCATCAGTGAGCACCTGTGGTCCGTTTGTTTCCCTGGGGGATGGTAGCGACAGAAGTTGTCGCAGTGCGACGGGCGACGGTGCTCGCGAGGCAGATGGCGATAGGAGAACAAGTCGCAGACCGGGGGGAGATGATTGTGACTCCGCGGATCGGGGGGAAGAGCAATGCGGAACGGCGGACGGCGGCAGAGCAGCGGAAGGCGAAGCAGCGGAGGGGGGAGCAGCGGGTGGAGCAGCGGAGGAGGAGTTGGCGGCAGCGGATTCTGGGGAAGCGCAGGGTGGTGGAGAGGGCGGGAGGTCTTGGTGGGGAAGGGTAACCGGGGGAAGACTGGGAAAGCGACGGGTTTCCACGGAAGTATCGCCGCCACGTGGCAGCAGCTCATTGGAGGCTGTTTTCAATGGAGTCAACGTGCTGACGGGTGAGACACGGGCGGGAAAGTTCCGAGCGGCGTGCGCTCTCCCCAGGTGGCGGTGGGTGCGTGCGTGTGCGCGAGTGCATGCGTGAGTGCGAAACCGCCACCATTCCTTCCGTCCTCATCCATCCCCTCGCTCTCCACTTGCCCTCCACTTCCCCCTCCCCTCCCCTCTCGCTAGGCATGGGTATTCTCACCACGCCCTACGCGCTCGCTCAGTCCGGCTAGTTCGGCCTGCTGCTCCTCACGTCTTCTCTCTCCCTTGCTTCCCCACTCTCACCTCCCCTCTCCCCGTGCACCAGGCATCGGTATTCTCACCACGCCCTACGCGCTCGCTCAGTCCGGCTGGTTCGGCTTGCTCCTTCTGGCCGTCACGTCCCTTCTCTACCTCCTCACCGCCCGCCTCCTCCGCGCCTGCATGGACCACGCCCCTGCCACCGATCCCCACACCTCTACCACCGCATCCCAAACCGTCACAACCCCTCCCGACACCTCCACCACCGCACTCCACACCTCCACAATCACCACCTACCCCGACATCGGCGCAGCAGCGTTCGGCCGCACGGGGCGCATGCTGACGTCCCTGGTCCTCTACGGGGAGCTCTTCGCTGTGTCAGTCGAGCTGCTCATCCTCGAAGGGGACTCCCTCGCCTTCCTCTTCCCCTCCTTCGCCCCGCACGGCGTCCCCCTGGGGTCCTCCCTCCGCCTGTCGGCCAACCAGGTGTGTATTGAGGCGTGTCAAACATAGACTCTCAGCAGGCATCATCACATCCCTGGTGCTGTACGGGGAAATCTTCGCCGTGTCGGTCGAGCTGCTCATACTGGAGGGCGACAGCCTCGCCTTCCTCTTCCCCTCGTTTGCTCCGCATGGCATTCACCTGGGTTCCTCGCTGCGCCTATCCGCCAACCAGGTGAGCTTCGATGCCTCTCAAAAAGCGTTCCGTCGCACCGGGCATATCCTCACGTCCCTCCTGCTCTGCGGGGAGCTCTTCGCCGTGTCAGTCGAGCTCCTGATTCCCGAAGGGGGCTCCCTCGCCTTCCTCTTCCCCTCCTTCGCCCCGCACTGCCTCAGCCTCGGCCCCCTCCTTCCGCCTCTCCGTCAACCACGTGAGTTTTGAGGCGCCTCAAAACACAGCCTCTCCCTTGGCCCCTCCCTCCGCCTTTCCCCCAACCAGGTGTTTCTGATCATCGTGGCGCTGATCGTGCTCTCGGCGGTGTGGCTTTTGGGGCGCCTCAAAAGTCCCCTCTCTCCACCTCTCGCCAAACCAGGTGTTTCTGATTCTCTCAGGGCTGATCTTGCTTCCCATGGTGTGGCTAGACAGATGTCGCTGCTGGCGTATGTGTCCGTGGGAGGGCTGCTTGCTGCGCTGGTCACCGTGGTGGGAGTGGCTTGCGGCTTGTCTTGAGTCGACTAAACAACTCCTTGAGCCCCTCCCTCCACCTCTCCCCCAACCAGGTGTTTCTGATCATCGCTGCGCTCATCGTGCTCCCCACGGTGTGATTACGGAAGATGTCTCTGCTGGCGTATGTGTCCGTGTGGGAGGGCTGCTTGCTGCGCTGGTCACCGTGGTGGGAGTGGCTTGCGGCTTGTCTTGAGTCGACTAAACAACTCCTTGAGCCCCTCCCTCCACCTCTCCCCCAACCAGTTGTTTCTGATCATCGCTGCGCTCATCGTGCTCCCCACGGTGTGATTACGGAAGATGTCTCTGCTGGCGTATGTGTCCGTGTGGGAGGGCTGCTTGCTGCGCTGGTCACCGTGGTGAGAGTGGCTTGCAGCTTGTCTTGAGTCGACTAAACAACTCCTTGAGCCCCTCCCTCCACCTCTCCCCCAACCAGGTGTTTCTGATCATCGCTGCGCTCATCGTGCTCCCCACGGTGTGATTACGGAAGATGTCTCTGCTGGCGTATGTGTCCGTGTGGGAGGGCTGCTTGCTGCGCTGGTCACCGTGGTGGGAGTGGCTTGCGGCTTGTATTGAATCGACTAAACAACTCCTTGAGCCCCTCCCTCCACCTCTCCCCCAACCAGGTGTTTCTGATCATCGCTGCGCTCATCGTGCTCCCCACGGTGTGATTACGGAAGATGTCTCTGCTGGCGTATGTGTCCGTGTGGGAGGGCTGCTTGCTGCGCTGGTCACCGTGGTGAGAGTGGCTTGCAGCTTGTCTTGAGTCGACTAAACAACTCCTTGAGCCCCTCCCTCCACCTCTCCCCCAACCAGTTGTTTCTGATCATCGCTGCGCTCATCGTGCTCCCCACGGTGTGATTACGGAAGATGTCTCTGCTGGCGTATGTGTCCGTGTGGGAGGGCTGCTTGCTGCGCTGGTCACCGTGGTGAGAGTGGCTTGCAGCTTGTCTTGAGTCGACTAAACAACTCCTTGAGCCCCTCCCTCCACCTCTCCCCCAACCAGGTGTTTCTGATCATCGCTGCGCTCATCGTGCTCCCCACGGTGTGATTACGGAAGATGTCTCTGCTGGCGTATGTGTCCGTGTGGGAGGGCTGCTTGCTGCGCTGGTCACCGTGGTGGGAGTGGCTTGCGGCTTGTATTGAATCGACTAAACAACTCCTTGAGCCCCTCCCTCCACCTCTCCCCCAACCAGGTGTTTCTGATCATCGCTGCGCTCATCGTGCTCCCCACGGTGTGATTACGGAAGATGTCTCTGCTGGCGTATGTGTCCGTGTGGGAGGGCTGCTTGCTGCGCTGGTCACCGTGGTGAGAGTGGCTTGCAGCTTGTCTTGAGTCGACTAAACAACTCCTTGAGCCCCTCCCTCCACCTCTCCCCCAACCAGTTGTTTCTGATCATCGCTGCGCTCATCGTGCTCCCCACGGTGTGATTACGGAAGATGTCTCTGCTGGCGTATGTGTCCGTGTGGGAGGGCTGCTTGCTGCGCTGGTCACCGTGGTGAGAGTGGCTTGCAGCTTGTCTTGAGTCGACTAAACAACTCCTTGAGCCCCTCCCTCCACCTCTCCCCCAACCAGGTGTTTCTGATCATCGCTGCGCTCATCGTGCTCCCCACGGTGTGATTACGGAAGATGTCTCTGCTGGCGTATGTGTCCGTGTGGGAGGGCTGCTTGCTGCGCTGGTCACCGTGGTGGGAGTGGCTTGCGGCTTGTATTGAATCGACTAAACAACTCCTTGAGCCCCTCCCTCCACCTCTCACCAAACCAGGTGTTTCTGATCATCGCTGCGCTCATCGTGCTCCCCACGGTGTGGCTACGAAAGATGTCGCTGCTGGCGTATGTGTCCGTGGGAGGGCTGCTTGCTGCGCTGGTCACCGTGGTGGGCGTAGCGTGGGTAGCAGCCGTGGGGACGGACGATGCAGGCTCGGCTGCTGCTTCTGCTTCTGCTGCTACTTCTGCTGCGGCAGCAGCGCAAGGAGGAGCGGCGTTGTTGCGGGTGCAGGGGATACCAGTGGCGATGGGAATATTCGGATTCTGCTTCTCAGGCCATGCTGTGTTCCCCACCATCTACCGCTCCATGGACAAGCCACAGCACTTCAACCGGGTGCGTGAGTGAGTGGATGAGTGACTGAGCGATTGGGTGAGTGAGTGGATGAGTGACTGAGCGATTGGGTGAGTGAGTGCTTCGATTGCACACAGTGCGATTGGTGTGAACCCCTTGTTTTGAGACGTCTCAAAACCCCTTGTTTTGGCTTCTGGTTCTTATGACTGCTGCAAACACCCCATGATGGACCTTTCTTGCTGCCCATGCATTATTCCCCGCCATCCATCTATCCTCCCTTGATACTTCCCCTTTCTCCCCCCCACCCCCTCCTCCCCGCCCCTCCTCCCTCCAGGTTCTCCTAATCTGCTTCACCGTCTGCACGTGCATATACGGCGGCATCGCCATTCTCAGGTATTCCATGTACGTCTAGGCCAAAATTCTCATCTCATCCACTCCATTCCTCCTCTCCACCTTCTTCCCCGCATTCCCCCCCTCCTCCCCCATCCAGGTTCTCTTAATCTGCTTCACCGTCTGCACATGCATATACGGCGGCATTGCCATTCTCGGCTACTCCATGTACGGAAAAGCCACTGCTGCCCAGATTACCCTCAACCTGCCGCCCGCCCTCACGCCCTCCAGCATAGTCCTATGGACCACCATCATCTCTCCCATAACCAAATTCGCCATCACCATCACCCCTGTCGCTCTTGCCCTCGAATCCTCCCTCTCCTCCCTCCTCTCCAACCTCTCCCCACCCAACCTCGCCTCCTGTACCCCTTACTGTGTGCCTCGCTTCAAGCACAGAGGCTGCAGCTGCAACTGCAAACACACTCCGCTCCCTCTCTCCTGGCTCTCAAATTTTCCGGGCTTTAAGCGGGTGATGGTCAGCAGCAAGACGGTGGTTTCCCTAACTGTGAGGACCCTGCTGGTGATGCTGGCAGCAGCGGCGGGACTACTTCTTCCCTTCTTCGCCCTGGTCATGACTCTCACGGGCTCTCTTCTCAGCATCTCCATCTCGCTGCTCCTCCCCACCGCCTGCCACCTCAGCATCAAGTGGCGCCAGCTGTCGCGCGCGTCAGTTGCATGCCACGTGGCGATTCTCCTGGGAGGGACGGCGGCGGCTGTGACGGGGACGATTTATGCCGTCAGGGGGATTGCTGGTGGTGGTGGTGGGTCGCATTAGCTGCTGATTTCGGTCTTGTGCTAATGCGACCCAGCTGCTAAGCTGATTAGCAGTCAGGGGGATTTGCACTTGAGATGGTTCAGGGGAAATTGCACTTGAGATGGTTCAGGGGGATTTGTGTTGGAGATTACGTGTGTTGGAAGCAAGGTGGTGGTGGGGCGTTTGTATGCCCCCAACCCACCGAATGTGTGACTTGTGCTCACCTTCGAGTGAGTTGCAGGTTTGCGTGGGGTTGAGGATTGACACCCATTCGATTCGGTGCCACATGGCAGCACCAGGAACATTCGAGACCCAAGGAGAATTCGGATCGGTGAAATTCGAGAGTCGAATTTCACCCTTTCGATGTTACTCGAACATTCGCGAGTGTAGCGGTTCGAGGTTACTTGTGCGATTCGATCTTGTTTGCATGCTATAAATCTGTTTTCTTTGTATTGCATGCCATCATAGTGAAACTCAGAGTTCTTTGTACAAGGTACATTCGAACACAAATTCCAGAGAGCTTCTTTACTTGCATTCAAGAGCACCACCTAGCACGATCTCGGAGAATACTTAGGCGATCGACGTGTTTGACGGCTCGTTGGAAAGCTAAGACAGAGCTCTATCGTTTAGAACAACTCCCAGTTCCTGCAAAGTAGAGGAGAGTCCTCTACAACAGTGGTATCAGAGCTGGTCGGAGGAGTTTACGCGCGCGACAAGGAGCATGCATGATGACTTCAAGCGAGGCCTCCCGCACTTCCTTGGATGGTGTCGTTGTAAATTCCGGCGAACCCTGGGCAACCGCGACGATGTTCGACACGTCGGCGGTACCGATTTTCACGGGTCAAAACTACTCCGCGTGGAAGTTTAAGTTCCAAGTGCTCATGATGGAGCGGGGACTTTGGGGTTTCTTCGATGGAACGGAGAAGAAGCCGGACGATGAGAGCGGCATCGCGGCATGGAAGAAGAAGGACCAAAAGGCGTTCGCTACGTTGATTTCGCGCATCGGCATCAATCTCGTGAGCTCGGTGCGCATGTGCATCAAGCTCGAAGCGTCGGCGCATGAAGCGTGGAAGCGGCTCGAGACCATCCACGTGAACAAGACTCTCCACGGCAAGATCCTAGCCCGGAATGCGTTCTACACGGTGAAGATGCGCGCGGGCGAATCGATGCACGAGTTTGCGACTCGTGTGGAGGAACTCGGGGAAACGTTCATGGACCTCGGTGGAACGGTCACGGAGGAGGATTGGATTCTCACCTTGCTTTGCGGCCTTCCTGAAGAGTGGTCGACGGTGATTACGACACTCGATAGCGTGCAAGACACTTGGACGAAGGAAATGGTGGTTGGTCGGCTTCTCCATGAAGAATCACGTCGCCGACAATTCGCTAATGAGAGCGAGGGTGCCGCCATGTACTCCGGAGGGAGTTCCGGAAAGAAGTCCAAGTGGAGCAAGGACACAGCGAAGGAATCGTCCGGTGGGAGCGAGCATCGCGGCAAGTGTCACTATTGCCGCAAACCGGGACACTTTTGGCGTGAGTGTCGAAAGCGGCCGAGCGATTGGACTCCATCGATGGCGCGGGACCAAGAGGGCAACGCGCACACGGCATCCGGCGAGGCCGATGATTCAAAGGAGTCGCTCGTGTTAGTGGCCGGCAACGGGAACAAAACTCCAAGCGACGCGTGGTTCCTCGATACCGGCGCAACGCAACACATGACGCACTCGGCGTCGCTCCTCAACAACATTGGCGCTCCGGGAGACGTCACGAGCATCGTGTTCGGAAACAACGAATCGCTACCGGTGGTCGGAGTTGGGAGTACGCGTCTCATCGTCGATAGCGGTCCGGTGGACGTGACGAACGTGTTTCACGTCCCGGGGGTGAAGGTGAACCTTCTATCCGTCCCGCAACTTGCGAAGAAGGGAGTGATCGCCACGATCGACGGTGCGAAAATGAACCTCTTTTGGAAGGGGGAGCAATTCGCGCAAGGTGTTCTCAACGGAGATATCTACCAACTCAAGACGTACCCGAGAGCGGCTTCATCCAACGTGGTGCAAGGCTCCAAGGCGACTCTCAAGGCGTGGCATAATCGGCTTGCGCACGCCAACTACGACTCGGTCAAGGAGTTGGCCAACAAAGGACTTGCGAAGGGAGTCGACGTGATCGCCGGCGACGACGAGAAGGGCGTGTGCGCGGCGTGTGTCGAAGGAAAAATGGCTCGCAAGCCATTCGGTAGCCGAACGTCACCCCTCGCTAAGGACCCGCTTGCACTTGTTCACATGGACGTGTGTGGACCGATGCGGCATGCATCAAAGGGAGGAGCGCGGTTCCTCTTAGTGATGCTCGACGACGCGACGCGGATGTGTTGGACCCGACTTTTGAAGGCTAAGGAAGATGCGGTCAAGGCGATTCAAGAGTGGGCGCTCGAAGTTTGCGACGATGACAAGAAGCGGATCAAGTGTATTCGCACCGATGGTGGTGGCGAATTCGTGAATGCGGAGCTCGAGAAATGGATGAAGTGCAAGGGCATTAAGCACGACGTCACAACACCCTACACACCCCAACAAAATGGAGCGGCGGAGCGGCTTAATCGCACGTTGGTGGAAGCCGTTCGTTCTCTTCTTCAACACTCCAAGCTTGGGAAAGAGTGGTGGGGCGAGGCGAGTTCGCTAGCGGCGTGGATTCGCAACCGTTTGCCGACGAAGGTGCTCCCGGGAATGACTCCGTTCGAAGCATGGACCGGAACGAAGCCGAACCTATCCCGCCTTCGCACCTTTGGGTGCCTTTGCTACTACCATGTACCGGATCCCCTTCGCCACAAGTTGCAACCGAAGGCTCGTGCGGCGATCTACTTGGGAATTGCGGCGAACGAGCGTGCGTGGCGAGTGTGGGACTTGGGCGACAAGTGCGTCGTCACGTCTCGGGACGTGGTCTTCGATGAAGACAAGTTCCCGTCGAAGGAGAAACCCACTCAACAACTCACCTTCATCCTTCCGCCACGAGAGGAGGTTGAAGAGAGTGAGACTCCACCTCAAGTGGAGAAGGAAGCCGATGGAGGGGGAGCGAACAACGAGGAGAGCATTGATGATGTCGTGGAGGTGTCACCAACCGAGGCGGCAACTACCTCCACACCTTCCTCCCTACCATTGGCCTTGACCCGCGAGCGTCGTGAGGTTCGTCCTCCCTCCAAGTACAACGACTACGCTACGGTAGCCGTTGGGGAGACGGATAAGGAGGGCGCGGCATTTTGCTTCGCAACCAAGGGTGATGATGAACACGCGAAATCTCTCATGGAACCACCCCCTAAAGATTCATCCCGTGCATGCTATGAGCATGTTGGTTTGCACACCTAGTGGGTTGGGTGCAAGGGGGAGTGTTGGAGATTACGTGTGTTGGAAGCAAGGTGGTGGTGGGGCGTTTGTATGCCCCCAACCCACCGAATGTGTGACTTGTGCTCACCTTCGAGTGAGTTGCAGGTTTGCGTGGGGTTGAGGATTGGCTTCGGAAGACCCATTCGATTCGGTGCCACATGGCAGCACCAGGAACATTCGAGACCCAAGGAGAATTCGGATCGGTGAAATTCGAGAGTCGAATTTCACCCTTTCGATGTTACTCGAACATTCGCGAGTGTAGCGGTTCGAGGTTACTTGTGCGATTCGATCTTGTTTGCATGCTATAAATCTGTTTTCTTTGTATTGCATGCCATCATAGTGAAACTCAGAGTTCTTTGTACAAGGTACATTCGAACACAAATTCCAGAGAGCTTCTTTACTTGCATTCAAGAGCACCACCTAGCACGTGAACGCCTATATCTCGGAGAATACTTAGGCGGTCGACGTGTTTGACGGCTCGTTGGAAAGCTAAGACAGAGCTCTATCGTTTAGAACAACTCCCAGTTCCTGCAAAGTAGAGGAGAGTCCTCTACAACAATTTGCACTTGAGATGGTTCAGGGGGATTTGCACTTGAGATGGTTCAGGGGGACTGCTGCTGCTGCTGGTGACTCGCATTGAAGGGGAGGCAGCTGTGGCAGGAATGGTTTATGCCCGTCAGGTTGATTGCTTCTGTTGGCGGTGGATCGCACATTGAAGGGGAAACTACAGCAGCTGATTTCAGACAACCAGTTGTGGCTGTGATGGGGGGCCGACCCACAAGATTCAGCTGCTGGTGGTGGTCTTGCTGGTGGTCGTGGCGTTGGGGGTCAAGGCCAGTTGTGAGAATTTTCATGAGGTCAAGGCCAGTTGTGAGAATTCTCATGAGGTCAAGGCCAGTTGTGAGAATTCTCATGAGTTCAAGGCCAGTTGTGAGAATTCTCATGAGGTCAAGGCCAGTTGTGAGAATTCTCATGAGGTCAAGGCCAGTTGTGAGAATTCTCATGAGGTCAAGGCCAGTTGTGTGAATTCTCATGAGGTCAAGGCCAGTTGTGAGAATTCTCATGAGGTCAAGGCCAGTTGTGAGAATTCTCATGAGGTCAAGGCCAGTTGTGAGAATTCTCATGAGTGGTGAGCTGAAGGGCAGTCTGTGCTGTGCTGACTGCCCTTGGTTGGCTTATTTCTGTGTGTTGTGAGCGCAAGCAGCTGCCGATGACGAAAATCAGCTGCTGAGGGGTAATTGCTGCCCTTTTGGCAGATCCAGAAAGTGCAGCGTCGGTCTTAGAAGAAACATCACCTCTGGTGATGGATTTTCCAGGTAGAAGCATAGTTAGTTGTGCATGTTGCTTGCTGTCAACCTTAGCTTGTTGACCAAATTTTGGTGTCCATTATTGTACACACCTTTCATTTATACAGCAACCATGAAAGCTTTCTTAAACACCCGTCAGTGCCATCTGTTCAATGATGGTTCAATAAGCACCAACTGTCTTTCAGTAGTTGGTTGAACAAGGGCAGGAAAAGAACACATGACTGCCCATCACACACAGAAAGATATCCTCAGCCCTCAGATGGTTGTGAGAAGGTGAAGTGCAGTCAAAAGCAGCGCTATTAGATATACACAAAAGGCATTGCACGATCGCCAGTTGACGGTCAGTGGCATGTGTTCCGATGTCGAACACACAGTTACTGAGCGTCAACTGGGGAAAAAATTCTTCTAACAGAAGAACCTCTTTCTAGCCCTAAGATAACCATTAAATGCAATGCACTGTAGTCGCACTCGATCTGAAGTCTAGTTGGGCACGGTCGTGCCAGCGGGGATGAGAATCTTATCCACGCCATGCGCGATGAAGTAAGGCCCTGCGTACAGTCGCGCGATTTGGATGGTCGTCCACGCGGCAGCAGGCACGTTCGGCCCCTGGGCGAACGACACGGAGTTACCATTTTGTGGCAAAACCTTGTAGATCGCTTGCTTCAGTTGAGTCGCCAGCGGCTGCGACTTTTTTAGGGAGTTCAGCTGAGGAACGGTTTGTTTCCGCGGGAGGATGTGGTATGCGGTGATGTTGTAGATAATTGGGAATGTTGCTACTCTTAGCGGGGAGCTTTTTAGCGAGGGCTTCGGCTTCTGTGTTGCTGGGGAGGAGGATCGTGGCGTCCGCGAGGGCTGAGAAGTCGTATTTGGAGTTGAGCGCGAGGCCGCTGTATTTGTTGATGTCCTTGGCGTATTTCGCGTATTGAGGGTAACGCTTCGTGATGTTCGTCGCCATGTTGTTCAGCTCCGCCTTGAGCCGCGCCTTGGTCGGCTTCGGCGTCGTCGCTTGTGCGCTCGCGCCAGCCACGCAGAGGGCGACGCAGATGAGCGCGAGCACGGCGAGCACCCGAGAAGTAGCCATTATGATGTTAAAAAAAACTAATTTCCAGAGGAAATTTGGACTATTGCGAAGTGGATTAAGGTGTGCGGATGGAAATCAGGTGCCGAGAAATGTCGAGTCTCCTGATCTGAAGTGCGAATTTTCTGCTGAGGGATTATGGTTAAAGCCCGCGGCCCAAATTGCGGGCCGCGCGGGTCAAGCTTTTAAAACTTGACGAACTAGTGTTTGCAAGGTTTTAAAAAAAGCGCGCCTGCAATTTGGGACTTTCGGGGACTGAACCAACTCCCAGGGCGAAATAACCGAAATCGATAACGTTCGCCAAACCCCAGACCAGAAAAACCCCCTCGCGTCAAGCTTTTAAAAGTTGTGCAATTTGGGCTGCCGGCTTTAAGTGAGAGAGAGACTGATGAAGATTGATTTTCTGGAGAGGAATTTGTAGAGGCAGGTTTGGGTGGAATGGTACAGGGTTACTTGGTACGGTGACTGGAGATTTGGAATTCGCGATGCCACAGTTGCGGTGTTGAAAATCCTCGGCCTTCCGCGATCGCGGTGCGACGAAACGCGCTCGCGATCTCGGCACCAAGGTGACAGGGTGTTTTCGGCGGCAGGAGACCACCGCGAGGCCCAGGGTAACAGCGCGAGTGGTGCGATACAAGCCAACAAAACAGTGATGGGTAGATGGTGGCGGCGACGAAGGTCCCACGATGTTGGGAAGGATCCTTCGCTGGGGAGAGTTTTGCTCAATTCCGCGGAATCGCGGTTTGTTTTAATATCGTCACGTGGCATGCCTTCGATTGCGGGAACCGTGATCTGTTTTATTGTTCCCACAAAGTTCAAGAGAAATTTAGTTAAGTTTTGGCCTGTGATGCCCACGGGCAAAAATAAAACCCATTGGGGCCTGGCATGCGTTAGGTAGACATCAACCCTAAACACCTTGCCTCTAGGTGTTTCGGGTTGATGCATCCCTAACACATGCCTTCCCTATAGGGGTTTTATTTTTGCCCGCGGGCAGGGCAGTACATGTGATCCACTAAGTCTAACTATATTTCTCTTGAAATTTGTGGGAACAATAAAACAAATCGCGGTTCCCGCGATCACAGGCATGCCACGTGGCACAGCTAAAACGAACCGCGATTTCGCGGAATTAAGCAAAAAACTCTTCGCTGGGCTAAATGATCCGCGGTGTCGCGAGTGAATGTCGGTCAGCGAAAGCAGATGGGTGCCTGCCATTGTGCATCTGATCGTGGTACAGAAAATATGTTACAGATTTTAACTATTGACGTAGAATGCTTCGCCTGTAATTGTTTGTGGTACAGAATTCTTGACACGCGGCTTTGGATAAGCTAAAAACGGTATGACGTGTGCCACTTGTTTTGCCGCCTAATGCGGCGGGTTTCTTGTGGGCGTTTCTTCTCAAATTCGCCTCAGTCGAGGTCGGTACCCCATCATGGCGATCTAGCTTTCGTTTGCGTGAGCGAGAGAGATGATCATTTGCTCGTTGTTTTGTTTGCTTCGATATTTGCTGACGAATCGTCACACTGACGCATGTACGACTTCAGACTAGCGGGCGACTCGGGGCATGCGCTCACCGGCGGAAGATGCATCGTAGTTACGCGGTTTTTAAGACTTTTAGAGAGTGTGTCTGTCCGCCACTAATCCGTACCTGCCTAGGCTTGCCGTCAATTCTGACCAACACTTGGTACCAGATGGATCTTTTAAAGCGGGTGTGATAACAAATAGCAAAGGGTAATCTCCAACTCGTGCTGTTGAGTGCACAGCTTGAAGTCTTGAATCTAAGAGGGCTGCAGCGGACGAACAAAATCCAATGTACCGGTAGAATTATAAGCATTACATTCCTGCAACCATCCGTACGGTACCTGAATTAATCCTACTGTACACAGCACGAGCCTCTACTTGCAGAAAGGGAGCACATTATTGATCGTGAGAGCAGACACACACCACAGGTGCTGATCAGTCAGCCGCAGCGCTTCTGGGCACTGGGCAGCACAGAGAAGAGGAGCCACTCCACACCACTTGCACCACTTGCATGACTTGCGCGCCTCAGAGCCAAATCTCTTGGCGAGCGATGATCGCTCACAGCATGAGACAGCTGTTCAGTCGGCTCAAAGACCTCTCTGCATTGTGGGAGGGGCAGGTGGTAACCAGAGCTCCACTCCCGTCCCAACATAACCACAGGGGGCGTTGATGAGATGCGGCGACTGCACACGCATCACTGCCCCCACCGCCTCTGCTCCTCCCCTCGCCACCTCCATTGCTGCCTTGAATTGCTGCCTCACTGCACTAACCAGATCCCTGCTGCTGCTGCTGCTGCTGCTGCTGCTGCTGCTATTGCTGATACAGCTGATACTGCTGTATCAACACAGGGGCAGGTGGTAACCAGAGCTCCACTCGTGTTCCACCGTAACCACTCGGTGAGTTGACCAAATGCGGTGATTGCACTCGCATCACTGCCCCCACCGCCTCTGCCACTCCCCTTGCCACCTCCATTGCTGCCAGCGCATCAGCAGCCCGTGCCAGCTTGCCAGGTGGCAGGTTTTGAGTGGAGGAGGAGGCCAGGCTGGCAGACTGGAGGGGGGTGGTTTGGCGGGAAGGATGCAGAGAATGCAGTAAGGTGGGGCTTTGAAGAGCATCAAACGAGGTGGATGGTATTTGGCATACTCTCCAGTGCACATGCTTCCAAATAGTCCAAACCTAAACCTCCAAAACCTTGCACTCACCAGGTAGTGCGTGCCCACGCCACTGTCTTCCACCAGCTACAGCACACCTCCCCCTGGAGCCCTCTGCCAGTGCACGTGCACCCACCCACCCCCAGTTAGCCTTGAAGTCCCAAAACCCCAACGCCAAACCCCAATCCTCAAAACCATGAGCCCTAAACCCCTACCTCAAAACCCTGCACTCACCAGGTAGTGCACGCCCACGCCACTGTCTTCCACCACCAGCAGCACGCCTCCTCCCGGCGCTCTCTGCCAGTGCACGTGCACCCACCCACCCTCAGATTGCAACCTACGCCCCAACCCCCAAACCCAAACCCCTCAACTCACCAGGTAGTGCACGCCCACGCCACTGTCCTCCACCAGCAGCAGCACCCCTCCCCCCGGCGCCCTCTGCCAGTGCACGTGCACCCACCCACCACCCTCTGTGGCGTGCAGTGCCGCATCCAGCACCCCCTGCAGCAGCCGCCTTATGTCACTCTCATGCCCCAACACCTTCCATGACTCCTCCTCTTCCTCCTCCTCTCCCCCCTCCCCTCCCTCCTCTCTCTCCTCATGCGCATGCCCTTGCTGCTCCCTCTCCTCCCCCTCGCCACTGCTTCTTTCAGCTGCTTCTGCTGCAACCACCAAACGCCCCCTTTCTCCTCCTTCAGAGTTATCCCCTTCAGCCCCTCTGCCCACCACGTATCTCTCCAGCATTGCTTCATAAACAACACCACCACTATCCGCTCCACTCCCATAGTTTTCTCTCCCTAGCCCTGACTTCTGAGTCAACTCAGAAGTCACCCCTTCAGCCCCCCTACCCACCACATATCTCTCCAGCATTGCTTCATAAACCGCATCATCATCATCATCCATTCCACTCTCATACTCCTCTCTCCCTAACCCTACACCTGCATCGCTCCCACCGCTCCATCTCAACCGTCCATCCTCATCAACAGCCCCAGTCAAACCACCCTGCCCATCAGCATTTTCTCTCAACTCCTCACCTAAGCTTCTTGCTCTCCTACCCCTTGGTTCAGCCTCCTCTTTCTCCTCGCCCTCGCCCCAGTTCTCTCTCCCACTAAGCACCCCGCCCACAGAAGCACCCTCAGGCTCGGCAGCAGCAGGCACGGCAGCAACAGGCCTGGCAACACCAGGTTCTGTGCCTGCCCTTGGATTGGAGGAGCCGTAGCTGACAGTGAATCGAATCTCACAGACAGCAGCGAGCGATGTAGCCACATCTAGCAGAGGCAGCAGCACCCGGTGCACACTGCAGGTTGGGTGGGCGCTGGAAAATGACAAGCGAAATGACAAGAAAACAAGGAAAACTACAAAAAGAATGACTAAGAGACAGTGACCCGGATGTCACGGGCAGTGGTGAGTGAGCGATGTAGCGGCGTCTAGCAAAGGCAGCAGCACTCGGAGCACACTGCAGGTTGGGTGGGGACTGGGATGGCGGAAAAACGACAAGAGGAACGTCAAGAAAAAATGACAAGAGGAATGGCAACAAAAATGACGGGACAAATGGGCGACAGTGAAACGGAAGTCACAGCCAGTGGCGAGGGATGCAGCGGCATCTACCAGAGGCAGCAGCACTGGATGAACACTGCAGGTTGGTTGGGGACTCGGATGGCAGAGAAGAGATGGGGGCACCTCTTCTCAAGACAACTTCCACGGTCCGCCCAACCCGGATGATTCCAAAAACAGGTGCCTCAAGAGAGGGAATTTCTAGAGGCGCCTCAAAGCTCGTCCCCAACCTGAGGCGCCTCAAGAGAGGCAGCAGCGCTCCACTCGTGTGCACACGGTGCAAGAACCATCACACACGTGGGTTATCTCTAGCAGTCGCACAGACAGCTGACCCAGAGGTGATCTTCTAGTCCACTAAAATATCAGCTCCACTCGTGTGTGCACGGTGCACGACACGTCACACACATGGATCATCACTAACAGTTGCACGGACAGCTGACCCACCCGCCCACTTGATGGCAAAGCGTGTTTTTAGTCGACTCAAAACACATCGCACACATGGATCATCTCTAGCAGCCGCAAGGGCAGCCGACCCACCCACCCACCCACCTGATGGCAAAGCTGGTCGGCTTGACTTGACTCACCTGCTGAAGGGCTGCGGACGAGCCTCTTGGGGCGGCGCCAAGGGAACAGACAGCTTTGCTTTGAGAGGTCTCAAAAGTTTTGAGAAGTCTCAAACGATTTAACAGGTCTCAGACGATTTGAGAGGTCCAAAAATTTTTAGGGGTCTCAATAAATTAACCCACCTGCTGAAGGGCTGCAGACGAGCCTCTTGAGGCGGAGCCAAGGGAACAGACAGCGCCCCCAAGGCTTGTGGATTGGCAGCAGGAGTGGCAGCAGGGGGGACAGCAGGGGGGACAGCAGGGGGGACAGCAGGGGGGACAGCAGGGGGGACAGCAGGGGGGACAGCAGGGGGGACAGCAGGGGGGACAGCAGGGGGGACAGCAGGGGGGACAGCAGGGGGGACAGCAGGGGGGACAGCAGGGGGGACAGCAGGGGGGACAGCAGGGGGGACAGCAGGGGGGACAGCAGGGGGGACAGCAGGGGGGACAGCAGGGGGGACAGCAGGGGGGACAGCAGGGGGGACAGCAGGGGGGACAGCAGGGGGGACAGCAGGGGGGACAGCAGGGGGGCAGCAGGGGGGACAGCAGGGGGGACAGCAGGAGTGGCAGCAGGGGGGACAGCAGGGGGGACAGCAGGAGTGGCAGCAGGGGGGACAGCAGGGGGGACAGCAGGAGTGGCAGCAGGGGGGACAGCAGGGGGGACAGCAGGAGTGGCAGCAGGGGGGACAGCAGGGGGGACAGCAGGGGGGACAGCAGGGGGGACAGCAGGGGGGACAGCAGGGGGGACAGCAGGGGGGACAGCAGGGGGGACAGCAGGGGGGACAGCAGGGGGGACAGCAGGGGGGACAGCAGGGGGGACAGCAGGGGGGACAGCAGGGGGGACAGCAGGGGGGGCAGCAGGGGGGACAGCAGGGGGGACAGCAGGGGGGGCAGCAGGGGGGACAGCAGGGGGGACAGCAGGGGGGACAGCAGGGGGGACAGCAGGGGGGACAGCAGGGGGGACAGCAGGGGGGGCGGGCAGAAGGAGGGGCGGCATGGGGAGCTCAGTGTCAGCCAAAGGGGGGAGGAGGAGTTGTGTGCGGTGAGGATAGGGAGGTGGCAGGATAGATTGGTGTGGGATGGTAGTGGCGGTGGTAGCAGTGCTGCTGGTGGTGCTGGGAAAGGATTGTGCAACTCCTCGCCCCACAGGCCCCTCTGTTGCTGCTGCTGCTGCAGTGACTGCTGCACCCGGGGGGTGAGGCAGGGGGTAGAGCGCCTGCTGCAGCTGCGACAGCACATCGCCTATCTCGTCGCCCTGAGACACCATGCCTTGCACCAGGTCGGGACCCAACTGGAGGAGGGAAAGAGTGTGGGGAGGGGAAGACATGCAGGCAGGCAGGGAATAAGAGCATTTAGCCAGCCATATTCACAGGAGCATGTTGCATATCTTGTCCCCTTGGGACACCATCCCCTGCACGAGGTCAGGCCCCCGCTGGAGAGGCATGGGTAGGGAGATAGGTGGGTGCGTGGGGGGGAATAAGCAGGGACAAAGGGCATTCGACAAACCATGTTTGCTCCACATGACCACATCGCCTATCTCGTTCCCCTAAGACACCATGCCCTTCATGAGGTCAGGTCCCCACTGGAGGGGGAAGGAGCGCTGATAGGGAGGAGATAGGAAGGGACAATGGGCATTCATGCAAGACAGACTTGTTGACAACATCACATCTCCTACCTCGTCTCGATGAGACACCATGACAAGATATGTTCGTCACGGCATCATGCGTGTCAGTAAGAGTTAATATCGAAAAGAAATCGAACGGGACAACCTCGGCTCACGAGGAATTTGCTTGTTGCCACAGGGGTACCCACCTCTCACTTCTGTCGTTGCCACTTGCCTCATGGGCACACACACCCACGAGCACCCATCAGCACCCCTCATCACCCATTAGCACAATCAGCAACCACCCGCACCTCTGTCTTCGCCACTTTCGGCATGGGCACCCATTAGCACCACACCTCACCTCTGTCTTTGCCACTTGCGGCATGAGCATTCGCCCCAGCGTGCGCAGAGCGGAGAGGGGGGCGCGCATCTGATGTGTGAGGGGGAAGCCGTGGAAACATGGGAGAGGACCGGGGATGGGGGGAAGGAGGGAGTGGGAGGGGAGGAGGAGAGGATGGGAGGGAGGTGGGGAGGAATGGGGGGAAGGAGAGGGGGAGGCATGACTCCATCGGCTCCAAAGCACATGAGGGGGCCAAATGAGCCGATTGAGTCATAATCAACCACCATCAGCTCAATCGGCTGAACCCCCATGACTTGGTGCGACTTGGTGCCGCAGGGAGGAGTATCACAGAGAGCATGAACCACCATTGCTCAAGCTGGCTCACCTAAGCAGGCCTATCCTCCCATCTGGACCATGGGGTTCGTTTCGTTGAGCTTCTACCTTCGACAGGGAGGAGTAGCACAACGAGCATGTACCGTACCACCACCATTGATAGGATTCGGCTGACCTGGTCTAGAAGCGAGTCGATGGTGACTGTGCGCTGCCACAGCGACTGCTGCATCATCCACGCCCTCTGATGACGTGGCAGGTGGGTGGCAGGAGGGGAGAGAGGTGGATGACAGGATGCAGGAGACAGAGACAACAGGAGATGGGTGAGACGAGCAGGGGGGGTTGAGGTTCAAGTCACTTGACAACAAGAGAGGTGAGAAGTGACAGGTAATACATGAGTCAAAATCCGAGTCAACTAAAAAATATATGGCTTGAACTCAGGGAAGAGAGCTGGCAACGGAACCAAGAATATTCTGGTAAACCTCTCTTAGATACACTGTGCCGTGGAAGCTTGAGAGAGTGTGCTGGCCGTGGCGTGGAAGAGGAACCCTTCCTCCTTGTCCATATCGCCACCCACCCCACACTGTTCCTTCCAGCAATTGAGTCGCCTCAGAAACCATTACCTGTTCCATGACGTATGCGAAGGCAAGGGAGCGAGCCACACCCACTGCTGCGCGCTGCTCCTCCTCCTCATACGCCTTCAACTGCATCCACTCCACCTCTCTTCCCCCCACTTGCCCTCCGTTCGCCTGCCCTCCGTTTGTCTGCCCTCCCTTTCCCTCCCCACCCACCTCCCCACTCCTCTGCTCCCTCGTTCCCTCTCCTTGCCCCTGCCGATTTCCACCCTCGCTCCCAGCCCTCCCTTTGCCTTCCACACTCCCCACTTCCTCCTCCCGCACTCCTTCTCTCCCTCTCTCACCCTCTCCCCTCCTCTCTGGTCGTCTCAGCACCCACTGCTGCAGTCTAACCACTGCACCCACTCCTCTTTCTGACCTTCTTCCTCTCCCTCCTCCCCCTCCTGCACCTCCTCCTTCTCCTCCATCTGACCTTCGTGCTCCTCCTAAGCCCTCCCCTCGGTCCCCTTCCGGCCCTTCTCGCCTTGTGCTACTGCCGCTAGCCTCCTGGCGTTGCTCCTCCTCCTCAGTCACTGGTTTTGCACGTGGGAAGGAAGCAACGGTACATTGTACAATAGAAATGCGGTTCTGGCTTGCCACTAAATAACTTGAAAGCTGACTCAAAACAAGGTGAATTTCGAGTTGACTTAAACGCCGGCTCCACAGGTGTAAGGAAGCGACGGTACTTTGTACAATGGCAATGCAGCTCTGGCTTGCCACTGGCCCTAAACACATAGCATCACCAGTCCTAAGCCACTGGCTCAACGAAACAAAAAAACTGTGCAGAGTTGAGGGTGGGAGTGGCAGTACCTGCTGCAGCAGCTGAGGGTGTCACTGGTAGAAGTTGGCGGTGCAGCACGAGCAGGCCAAGCAGGAAAGAGTCTCTTGTCAGAGCCACCACCAGCGCACCTTCGCTCTCCAGTGAGATCACCTGCACCGCAAACATTTGGATTTTGCACCGGAAATCAATAAAAAGTGCTCATCGAATCGCCAAAAAACTCCGTGCAATGCATGGTTCCTTCCTTGGTTGGTGCTGACTGATGACATCACTTATGGATGCATGGTTCGTTCCTTCGTCACCTACAGCTTGATCCGTGAAACCACCGAAAATATAGTTAAAAAGAGATGTTTGATTTTAGCAAAGAGGGCAATAGAGAAGCAAAAATTCAGTGGAATGCCATGGATGGGCACAAGAAGAGTCAACACGATGTGCCGTATGGTGTGCAATGCTCACCTCTTTCTGTATAAGTACGGCTTCTAACGAAGGTGGCAGTTTTGCAATAGGTGGCTCATTCCCCACCTCCTCCTCTTCATCCTCCTCCTCCTCCTCCCCCTCACTCACCCCTTTCACCTCCCCGTTTTCCACTCCCACATTCTCTCTTTCTCCTCCCATCTCCATCGCCCCCCCTTGTGTGCTTTGGTAACGTGCCCTGTCTCGGGCCCCGGGCAGCCTTCTCACCACTCGGAGCAATTCAATCTGCCCGGAAAGGAAGCTCTCTGGCGTGCGCAGGTAAAGCTGCAGGAGGGGGCAGGACAGAAGAGGGAAACATCTCAGAACCCTAAAAAAGTGACTCAAATAGTGCTTTGAGACGTACTTAAACTCTGTTCAGAAGCGTCTTGACAATTTGTGACGTTACCTTTTCTGCTACACTTTCTCCTGCTCTTTTGGTTAGCTTTCAATGAAAATCGTCTTTTCCTCATCCCCCACCCAAAATTACTGTTATTCTCGTGAGCAACCCAGCACCTCCAGCCACACGTGGCACGGCACAGAATAATTTCTTCTTTAAAGCCCCCACCCATACGTATCTTTATCCTAGTGGGCTGAGAGACGCAGCAGCGCAGCACAGTCCCCAGCACGTCCAGCTGTGCGTGGCAACAGGAGCAAACAATACACGAGCACAGCAACCCACACTCACTGTAATTCTCGTGGGCTGGGAGCCGCACACAGCGCAGTCCCCAGCACGTCCAGCTGTGCGTGGCAACAGGAGCAAACACTACACGAGCACAGCAACCCACACTCACTGTAATTCTCGTGGGCTGGGAGCCGCAGCAGCACAGCGCAGTCCCCAGCACGTCCAGCTGTGCGTGGCAACAGGAGCAAACAATACACGAGCACAGCAACCCACACTCACTGTAATTCTCGTGGGCTGGGAGCCGCACACAGCGCAGTCCCCAGCAAGTCCAGCTGTGCGAGGCAACAGGAGCAAACACTACACGAGCACAGCAACCCACACTCACTGTAATTCTCGTGGGCTGGGAGCCGCAGCAGCACAGCGCAGTCCCCAGCACGTCCAGCTGTGCGTGGCAACAGAAGCAAACAATACACGAGCACAGCAACCCACACTCACTGTAATTCTCGTGGGCTGGGAGCCGCACACAGCGCAGTCCCCAGCACGTCCAGCTGTGCGTGGCAACAGGAGCAAACACTACACGAGCACAGCAACCCACACTCACTGTAATTCTCGTGGGCTGGGAGCCGCAGCAGCACAGCGCAGTCCCCAGCACGTCCAGCTGTGCGTGGCAACAGGAGCAAACAATACACGAGCACAGCAACCCACACTCACTGTAATTCTCGTGGGCTGGGAGCCGCACACAGCGCAGTCCCCAGCACGTCCAGCTGTGCGAGGCAACAGGAGCAAACACTACACGAGCACAGCAACCCACACTCACTGTAATTCTCGTGGGCTGGGAGCCGCAGCAGCACAGCGCAGTCCCCAGCACGTCCAGCTGTGCGTGGCAACAGAAGCAAACAATACACGAGCACAGCAACCCACACTCACTGTAATTCTCGTGGGCTGGGAACCGCACACAGCGCAGTCCCCAGCACGTCCAGCTGTGCGTGGCAACAGGAGCAAACACTACACGAGCACAGCAACCCACACTCACTGTAATTCTCGTGGGCTGGGAGCCGCAGCAGCGCAGAGCCACCCCCATCACGTCCAGCTGCGCGTGGCACAGCGCGAGAAAATCCGCACTCGGTGCTCCCAACGGCCGCCCCTCTGTGGCCTGTACCTGCCCCTGGTCGCCCGCAAACCACCCTTGACTCCCTTGACTCCCTTGACTTCCTTGACTTGTTTGACTCCCTTGACTTCCTTGACTCCTTTGACTTGTTTGACTTCCTTGACTGGTCTGTTCGCCTTGAGACCAGCTTTGACTGCCCTGGCTACTTTGACTTTCTTGACTGCCTTGGAACCATCCGTCGCTGCTTTGACTTGTTTGACTTCCTTGACTGCCTTGGGATGCAGACCCTTGGAATGAGGACTCTTGACCCCATGCATCTGACCCCCACTCCCCACTGCTCCTGCTACTGCTCCTGTCACTGCTCCCGCCACTGCTGCCCTCCTCACTATCCGACTGACTCCAGTAACTATGATACCCGCTAGCACCTCCCCTAGCCTCTGCATCACCACTGCTCTTTCCGCCAACCCTCTCTTCTCGCCCCTCTCCGCCTTTCCCCTCCCCCTCCGCCTGGTTCTCCGCCTCCCCGTCCCCCTCCCCCTTCGCCTGTCCTCCGCGTATAGACGCGGAAGCGACACCCAGCGCCGTCGCAATCATCCACGCCGCCTGTGCGATATCCACTTCAATGTCGCCCAATCCTCCACCCCCAAGGATCGCACGCGACGACTCTCCCCCCACCCTCACCCTCCCCCTGTTCGCTTCCGCCGCTGCCTCCGCGGTCGCGGAGCGTCCTATGGGAAGGGCAAATCCGCGGCGACTCCCCCTTCTTCCCGCGCTTTCCCCGAACTGCGCGTCCCTTCCGCCGAGGAGAAGCGCGCGCGCGACCAGCGGGCGCCAATCGCGACCGCCCATATCGCCATTACGCCATCCCATGGGGCAATCCGCGCCGTCCCGCGGCGGCCATCCTAGCAAGCAGGTCGTGCCCCTTCCCCGGTGACTGGGTCCAGCGCGCAAGACATTGCCGCTAAATGCATTGGTAACGGCACTGACAACGTCACCTCTGCTGCTAAAACTCCCGCCCGCAGTAGCCGCACTAGACTGAGCAACCAGACCGCCATGACTCAATCTGGATGATGCGGCACAGCCGAGAAGAGGCCGCGGGAATGCGGAGCGCGATTCCATTTGCGCCTCTGCGCGGATTGGTGACAACACTTGGGCTTTCTTGATAAGTTGATTCGGTATTCGCCAATGCGCAGTGTGCTATATCCAACTGGCCTATTTTTGGCCTTATTATACCCAAACGGTGTAATCACAGACTATCGCATGAAGTTCGAGGCTGAACTGAAGTGGCAGTCAAGCAGAGGTCGCGAACAGGCGAACCGGGCTGCATAGCTGACGAAAGACCGTCAACCATACAGTAACCCTGGTAAGGACCAATGGACGAATCTATCTATAGCGCGGATTACCACAACTGCTGGTGGTTCTCAGAGCCAGGGACGTGAGGTTCCAGCGTTCGTGGTTCAGGAGCTGCCGACTGCTAGGGAGTACTTATTCAGATATTTCTCTTTTACGTTAGCATTTTTTCCCGCAAATGGTGCTGTGCGAAGGACATATTCTGCGGAGCTGTACGGTACGATGAACTCAATCCACCTCATGACGAGAGGACATGGTCGGCTAGCAGCTGATACTAGAAGAAGAAACTTAGCGTGCATCACAAGCAAGCTAGAGGTAAATTTTGTGGTGAGGGAGCTTTTTGGTGAAGAGACGAATTCTGAGGTTGATTGAGGTGGGGTGGAATTGGGGTAGGAAAATTTGGGGGAGAATCCTGGAGATCCATTCGTTGGGTGAAATCGAGGGGTAAGAGCCTCGAGAATGCTGGGCAATGACGTGGCGGAAGCTGGCAATGCAGGTGCTGACACGTGACACAATTTTATACCAGCTTTAAGCAGCTCCGCTACGCGCCATTCTCAATACGTCAACAGAATGAACGACGTGTATGGGAATTTTTATCAACTAATTGTAACAAAAGGACAGCTTACAGTACATGATGTAAAGCACTGGGTCACAAGCTATTACCAACACTTACTGGGTAAACACTGAACTTCCTATTTTATCATATTTCTGTTTTTAAAGAGCCCAATGGGTGCACCCTAGGAATTTGCTTTCCATAACTGCAGGCTAAATAGTGTTGAGATAATATCGAGACTTAAGCACTTCAAAGATATTCGTGTAGTACAGTAAATTACCGATAGGCTGACGTAAGCAAAGCGCTACGCGCCCTAGGATGACGTCAGCACATAGCTATAGTGTCAAACTTATATGATCTAGCCTGTGTAGGCTGTAGCGGGTTAGATACTAAGGGGTACACAATTCTAGCTTTTCACCTTTTGTATCACTTTCATTCCTTAGTCAATCCATTCTCTCGTTCTAAGTTTCTCATGGTATCGAGCAGGTTCCCTCGTGGGAACTGTTCCTAGGGCCCACCAAGATTTTTTTTCCTACCCGGGGCGCGTGCCGCCCCTGCCCTAAGCGCGCCTAGTGTCCCGCCCCTCAGGCCCCGTCGCTGCCCTCTCTAGGCCCCGCGTGGCCCCTTAGCGGCCCTGTCGCCGCCCCTTCCGGCCCCGCGACCGCCCCTTACGGCCCCGTCGCCGCCCCTCACGGCCCCGCGACCGCCCCTTACGGCCCCGTCGCCACCCCTCACGGCCCCGCGACCGCCCCTTACGGCCCCGTCGCCGCCCCTTAAGGCCCCGTCGCCGCCCCTTACGGCCCCGTCGCCGCCCCTTACGGCCCCGTCGCCGCCCCTTTCGGCCTCGTCGCCGCCCTTCAGCGGCCCCATTGCCGCCCTTCCGCGGCCCCGTCGCCGCCCTTTCGCGGCCTCGTCGCCGCCCTTCAGCGGCCTCGTCGCCGCCCCTCAGCGGCCTCGTCGCCGCCCTTCAGCGGCCTCGTTGCCGCCCCTTGCGGCCCCGTCGCCGCCCTTCGCGGCCCTGCCGCCCTTCCTCGGCCCCTTAGCCGCCCTTCCCGGCCCCGTCGAGCAGCCGAGCCGCCGTCACCGCCGGGCCGCCGAGCCGCCGAGCCGCCCTTGCCGCTGTGCCGCCGAGCTGCCGAGCCGCCGAGCCCCCGAGCTGCCGAGCCGCCGAGCCGCCGAGCCGCCACGCCACCGCAGCCGAGACGCCGCAGTCCCTGCCGTCGCGGCCCTGTCCCTGCCGGCCTGCCTTGGCCCGCCCCACCTGCCTGGTAAGAGCAGCGCCTCTGCCACTGTACTGCCCTACCCCGCTGCTCTCTCTGCCAGTCTACTGCTGTCATGGCCACCCCCAGTGTTCTCACCTTTGACGCTGAGGGTCGGGCTGTTGACTTTGAGGTCTGGATAGATGATCTGCAGCTTTTCCTACAGTGCGATAGGGCAGACGGTCTCTCTCTGTTTGACCTCACCTCTGGTGCCTCTCCTGCCCCTGCTGCTGATGCTGACGCCACTGTTCGCTCACAGTGGGCCACGCGCGATGCTGCTGCTCGCCTTGCTGTGCGCCGCCACTTACCGACCGCTGAGCGCGCGCATTTTAGTCAGTACAAGAGTGCTAAGACCTTGTACGACGCTGTCGTTGCACGCTACTCTTCCCCTGCCACTGCTGCCCTTAGCCGCCTCATACTGCCGTACCTCTTCCCTGACCTCGCCGCTTTTCCCACAGTCGCTGACCTCATTACGCACCTTCGCACTAGTGACATTCGCTACCGCGCTGCGCTTCCTGCTGAGTTCTGCGCCAAGAACCCCCCCCCTATGTACATCACCCTCTACTACATAGTCACCCGGCTCCCTGACACCCTTCGCTCGGTCAGGGACCACTTCCTCTCTGTTTGCCCCACCACCCTCACCGTTGACCTCCTCGAGGAGCGCCTCCTAGCAGCAGAACAGAGTATAGTCGCTGTAGGAGCCTCTCGTGGTGACCCTCGTACCCCTGTCTTTGAGGGGTGCTCCCCCTCCCCCCTCTTGCCCTCTGTTGCCTCTGCTGCTGCGGCCGACCTCGTTTGTCTTGAGTCGGTCGGCGCGGCGTCTGCCCCTAGCGGAAGACGCCGCTCAGGCAAGGGCAAGGGGGGCAAGGGCGCTGGAGGAGCTGGCGGGGGCGGTGGAGGCGGCGGTGGAGGCGGCGGAGGGGGTGGGGGTGGCGGTGGGAGTGGTGGCGGGAGTGGGGGCACTAGTGGCGGCAGTGGAGGCGGAGGAGGCGGCGGCGGTGGCGGTGCGAGCGGAGGTGGTGGAGGTGGAGGCGGTGGTGGAGGTAGCGGCGGCGGAGGTGGAGCTGGTCGGGGCGGCTCTTCGCAGCGGGTCGGCTCCGGTGGTGGTCAGCGCCAGCAGCAGCAGCAGCAGCGCACTCGTGAGACCCCTTCCCCCCAGCAGCTTCGTGAGTGGTACACTGCTCGTCAGCGGGGTTGGGGTGCTGGCCCCTGTACCTACGTTCTACGTACAGGCGACCGCACGGGTGAGCAGTGAGGGGGTCTGCACTCCACCCAGCGCTGCTTCGGCCGCCTGACGGACGCTTGGCGTCACCAGTTCCCCGACGCTACTGAGATCCCTCGCTGGGGCGAGCTGTTTAGGGCGGGTGTTGCGATCTTTGATCTTGATTATGATGCTATTCTTGCTGTGATGTATGCTGTGACTATTAGTAATGAGGGTGACTCTTACCGGTGTTTTCCGCCTGACCCGGGCATTGAGGCTGCTGCTCTAGGTGCTGGTGAGGCTGCTGCTCTAGGTGCCAGTGAGCCTGCTGCCCCAGGTGCTGGTGAGTCTGCGCTCTCAGGTACCGCGTCGGCTCCGGCCACCCACACCTTCACCCTTGACTCGGGTGCTTCCCGCTCCTTCTTTCGAGACCGCACCACGCTTACGCCGCTTAGTCGGCCAGTGGCAGTCTCCCTGGCAGACCCCTCTGGGGGTCCTGTCCTTGCCCACTTCTCCACTGTTCTACCGTGTCCGGCGGCCCCTTCTGGCACCCTGTCGGGTCTTTACCTCCCCTCGTTCTCTACGAACTTGGTGAGTGGTGCTGACCTCCAGGATGGAGGGGTTCACCAGTTCACTCCTGCGAGTCAGCGAGTGACCCACTGTACCTGTGCTCGGACGGGCCGTCACTTGGCCACGTTTACCCGTCAGCCGGGGTCGAGCCTGTACACACTGACTACTGAGTCTCCCCCGGTCGCTGAGTCTGCTCAGGTAGCCGCGTCGGGTCAGGTGCTTGCTGCGGCGTCCAGGTCTGGTCCTGAGTCTGCCCCCTGCTCGTGTCGTCTCCTGTCTCACCAGACTCTCCTCTGGCACCACCGCCTTGGTCACCCCTCCCTGCCTCGTCTTCGAGGCATGGCCTCCCGTGTCCTTGTCTCTGGTCTCCCCCGGTCCCTCCCTCCCCTTCCTCCGGGGCCTGCCCCCACCTGCGTTCCCTGCGTCGAGGGGCGGCAGCGCGCTGCTCCTCACTCCTCCGAGTTTCCTCCGACAGAGGCTCCGCTGCAGACGCTTCACATGGACGTGTGGGGCCCAGCCCGCGTCCGTGGACAGGGTCACGAGCGTTACTTCCTGCTGGTGGTTGACGACTACTCGCGTTACACCGCAGTCTTCCCCTTGCGCAGCAAGGGTGAGGTCACTGAGGTGTTGATCGCCTGGATCCGCGCAGCTCGTCTCCAGCTCAGAGAGAGTTTCGGCTCGGACTTTCCTGTTCTGCGTCTGCACTCTGACAGAGGCGGAGAGTTCTCCTCTGACCTTCTGCGAGCCTTCTGTCGTGCACGAGGCATCCGCCAGACCTTCACGCTTCCGGACTCTCCGCAGCAAAATGGGATTGCTGAGCGCCGCATTGGCATGGTCATGGACGCCGCTCGTACGTCCATGGTCCATGCGGCTGCCCCCCATTTTCTGTGGCCGTTTGCGGTTCGGTACGCGGCGC